TTACAGGTTGTGCAGTTTACAGAATGAACTATTTTTGAACAAATGTATCTCTAAATGAAATCTGGACATAATTTAATTTAGGGGGTAGTAGTGGCCTACAAGCTCCAAATGTCTTGTACTGTAAAGAAAAGTCTGTTCAGTTTATTTATATAATACCAGGTCACAACAGATGTCTCAGGACACTGAACAAAAACATTCACATACAAAAATCCATTTAGTAAAGTTATCTAAGGAAGCAGCAGATTGCGTTGAATCTTCACTTCGTCACAGTCTCCCATCCTGAGCAAGCACAAAGGCAACAGTGGAAAAACTCCCTCTAAACAGGAGGAAACCTCCAGCAGAACCAGGCTCAGGACAAGTGGCCATCTGCTTTGAAAAGCTGGGTTAGAAAGGACAGAAAGGAGAAACGAACAGAGAACGGCCGGTCCAGGTGTATTTTCTATAGGAGGAAAGACAAAAAAAAAAACATGTTAAGATAGAAATAATTACAAATACAAACAGAACAACAAAATATGTAAAGGGTGATTAATGCTGACCCATTCCCTCATCATTTTCCGAGGAAAGTGGAGTACAGCTCCTAACATACAACATCTCCATATGTGAAATACATTAGTCAACTACTCTATAACCCCTTTGAGCACTAGACTATTATTGAGCTTGACTTTCCAGTGATTTGAAAAGACTTTTAACTTACTCAGGTAAGTCAAATCTCTGAAAGAATACTTTGCTATCTGATATCTTGCTTGGATAAGCTGATTACTGTATTTGTCATCAAAGTGGTGAAGTAGAGCCCGCTTTGATTGAATTTGTCAGTTTACCTCATGTGACATATGCCAAGTCTACTCCTCAACATTGTCTTGCCTTCAGATTATTATTGAATATTTTTTTGCAGGGTGACAAGGCACAACATCCTGCTCATATACTACTGTTGGAAAAAAAAAAAAACTCTCTCAATAACGTTTACCCAAAAGAACCACACTCAATGGCAGGAGATTTTAACCAGTATTAATACGCAAATTCAGATTTCAGAAGAGGTTACATATTGTCAGGAATGGGTTTTTGGATTCTTAACAAGACATACAGGAGTACAAAAAGAACAGTTTTTATTTATTTTTGCTGCTGGAGTCAGGATCAGAAAGTTAACAGGTCCTCACAGGCTGTAGGGAGAGAGTCACCTGTAAACAATGGCGTCACTGGCAGAGCAGCTGCAGTACATGGTTCGTGAGGGGACAAGTCCAAGAGCAGGGTCCAGATAACGAAGCAGGGGTCATACATGGGGAAACAGAGAGCAGAAACCAGAGCCAAGTCGTAATCCGTAATCGCGGAGGGAAAGCAGAGTTGTTTACCGTGGTCTGATGTGAAATCAAAAACCCAAAGAGGGACAGGCAAGGCGAGGACACCATGGTACAGCCGTGAGGTCAAGACAAGGCAAGGCAAGGCAAACAAGGCTGTGGCATGAAACTATGGATGGCTTGATATCAGGGGCCATTGACGGTTTAATGACTCAGCACTGGTGGAGAGTGAGCATGAAGCTTATAAAGTGTGCAGAGCAGGTGAACTAGATGAGAGCTGAACAGGTGAGTGGAATCAACCTGATTGCTGTGAGAAACAAGGGAGGCGTGGCATGGCATGACTTGGAAGGAGCAGAATTGAGCTGGAGATGGGTGATCGCCTTCACAAAGCAGCGGAAGAGAAAATATGGCATGAGGGGATGAAACAATGGCAGGAGGTACTGAGTGTGAGGCAGGGGCCGATGAGGGGTCTGCAGGGGCCACTGACTGTGACACATACATAGACATATATCACATACACAGATGTATACATATTCATTCATTCAACCTTTACTTATACAGATAAATCACATTGAGCCTCAAAGACTCATTTCGAAGTGAGACCTGTTTAAACAGCCAAAAAGTAATGAAAGTGACAGCATATAGGATTTGGAGGCAAAAATAAATAAATAAAAAAATCATAACAGACTCTCATTCCTTGGATGTGGAAAAGATAGTCTGAAATCGTAAAAACACCCCACACACAGGCACATAGTGACACAGACATTCTGCAGGGGAGGGCAGACGACAAGAGCAGTGAGCATGCCCAAGGACACTCCAGAGGCACTGTAGGAGTTCTGATGAGAATGATATAATCAATGAGTTCCCTTTGGTGAGATCCATAAACACTCTCGAGAGTGCTGAGGTCGTCCTAGGATAGCGCCAGAGAGAATCCAAGAGTCCTGAAATGATGACACAATGTTTATTCTGTCGGAACCCTCTGATAGGTCTGCAGACTTCCTCGGTGGGAGGGGAGGGGGGCAGAGCATCAAATGTACAGGGCCTCCAGGCGAATTGAGATAAGGTGGCCTATCAAGGCCAGCCGAGGACATGAATTTGAATAAATGACGTTTGTTTCAGGGACAGGCATAACTTTACTGATTTATGTCTGTCTTGAGTGCCTTGAGTCTTTCACAAATCTCAAATGTCCAAATTAAGTGGACAAACCACTGGTCCATGTCTGAGAGTATTCCCCAAAATCTGATCCATCCTGCCAGTGAATCCTAGGGACCGCAAATGGCCTGCGATTCTCACAAATCACATCCAATTTGCGTTCAGTTTGCAAAGCAATTAAGTCTGGGTGCGGGAGGCACGGAGCAAACCATTACATAAGTCAGACAGCCTGACCAGCACTAAATTTGCTGCCGACGACTTCCTTGTTTGTTGACAAACCAGGAACCAGACGATTCCAAAAAGCGAGAAACCTGTTATCATAAACCCAAATATATATATGATTGTCTTTTGTTGTCGTTGTTGTCCACTGTTGTCATCACTCTTTGTTAAAATTCAGATCTCTATTGTAAATGAGTCCTCGTGGCTCAATGGGATTAACCTGTCTAAATAAAGGTTGAATGAATATGTGTCTTCAACATCCTCGATGGACAGCAGAGATAGACACATCACCTTCCAATTGCTCCAGGAATCAATGACATATCCAGTTGCCTGCATGTCATCAGGGCAAGTCAGCTCACCTGAAGCTTGTCTTCTCGTTGAGAAAATTTTATTAATTGCATTGAGAGACCAGCTGACCTGATCCATAGCAAAGTTGTGGTTTGGAAGATATGTAGAGAGGCTCTGAAGCAGTTTCACAAACAGGACAGAGCAAAAGCAAAGCGGAGGAGGGAGAGGAGAGGAAATGTGTCCGCTCTCAACAAGAGCAAGTGGTCAATTATTAAAACCAGTGGCAGAAAAAAAGCCATGAGCTGTGTTATCTGATCGCTTTTATAGTCCTCACAGATCAGCCAAGTTCATAGAGTTCAGGAGGTGTCCTTGTAGCCATCTGCAGTTTCCTTACAAAGAGCTGTCTGTTTACCCAAACATATGGTTCATGGGCAGAGATAAAAAAGTGTCTTGGGAGATGGTTTCTGCTTGTTTTGGGCTTCTTGTTCTCAGGGCAGAGGGGGAGAATGTTCTCAGCCATAGTAATATAAACATCCATAACCTTTGACCAAAAATTCCCTGACAGTTACAATGATCCAGAAACATTGTTTTTATGAAGAGATGTACATTGTCTGCAACAATGCTTAGGTAGGAAAAATAAGTCAGAGCAGTGACAACTTAATGGCAGTGTCCAGCATTTCTCAGCAGGATATTGTCCAAAACTTTCTCTGCTGGTTTGCTTCTTCCCATATTTTACCCTGGTGTTGTCTTAGCCAAGTAAATGACTTGCATGAACAGAGCTGTCAACTTGATGGAAAAGAAAATGCAATTCACTTTGGTGCCAATTCAATTCAGTTTATTTATATAGCACCAAATTACAACAAAGTTGTCTCAGGGCACTTTATAGAAACATTCACGAACATAAAAGCCAATTAGTAAAGTTTTCTATCTAAGGAATCCAGCAGACAATTTGAATCTTGGCTTTGTTGCAGTCTCCCATCCTGAGCAAGCACAGTGGCAACAGTGGAAAGAAAAAACTCCCTTTTAAAAGGAGGAAACCTCCAGCAGAACCAGGCTCAGGACAAGTGGCCATCTGCTTTGACCGGCTGGTTGAGAGGACAGGAAGGAGAGACAAACGAACACAGAATGGTAGGTCCAGGTGTATCTGAAAGACAAAAAAAACACATGTTAAGGATAGAAAAAATAATTACAAATACAAAACAGGTTGAGCAGAGTAAGTAAAGACAGTAGTAGAGTGAAATTTGTGGTCAGTTTGTCCTCCAGCTGTCTAAGCCTATAGCAGCATAACTAAGGGTCAGCTCAGGGAACCCAAGCTGACCCTAACTATAGGATTTAGGAAAAAGGAAAGTTTTAAGCCCAGTTTTAAAACTGGACAATGTGTCAGCCTCACAGACAGAGATTGGAAGTTGGTTCCACAAGAGAGGAGCCTGATAACTAAAAGATCTGCCTCCCATTCTGTTTTTGTAAATTCTAGGAACTACAAGTAAACCTGCAGTCTGAGAGCGAAGCACTCTGTTAGGAAAATATGGAACAATGAGATCTTTAATATAAGATGGAGCCTTGTTGTTGAGAGCTTTGTAGGTTAGAAGTAAGATTTTGAATTCTATTCTGGATTTGACAGGGAGACAATGGAGAGAAGCTAAAACTGGAGAAATATGATCTCTCCCACTAACTCCAGTTAAGACTCTGGCAGCAGCATTTTGGATCAACTGAAGACATTTTAAAGAAGTATTTGGACACACAGATAATAAATCATTGCAATAGTTCAGTCTAGACGTGACAAATGCATGGACAAGTTTTTCTGCATCATTTTTAGATAAGATGTTTCTAATTTTAGTGATATTACGCAGGTGGAAGAAGGCGGTTCTAGTAACGTTTTTAATGTGGTGGATAAAAGACATGTCCTGATCAAAAATAACACCAAGATTTTTAACAGTAGAGCTGGAGGACAGATTAATGCCATCCAAGGAGGGTGAAAGACTGAAAAATTAATTCCTAAGGTGCTCAGGTCCAAAAACCAAAACCTCAGACTTGTGGTCTCATTGAGGAGTATCATTGCTCCTTGGTGTGGTTTGGATTTTGACATGCCTATTGTAGGTGGTTTAAAAGCTGGAAAGTCCAAGTCTATCAACTGGAAAAACAGTTAATAAACTTAGGTCAGGCCTCACTTTCCATAAGCATGGAAATAAGTAATTCTTCTATGACAGAAATAAATTTCTAACAGAGTCAGATTGAAATTTGTGGTAAGCGTCCATTTGCCTAGATATGCTGGGGGTTGAGAGGACAGGGAAGAGACAGATGAACACAGAAGTGTTGGGTCGTGTAGTTTACTGTATATTGGGTGAAAAAGATAGAACAGTTGTCAGCAATAATTGTCTGTACAAACATGGAAAGAAAAGATAATAAAGACAGAGTAAGAAAATGTAGTTTGTCATCAAGTAGTCTAAGCTAATAGCAGTAACTAAGGAAATCCAAACTCAACATCAACTTTAGGATGAAGCAAAAAGTAAGCCTATAGTAAAAGTAAATGGTGAATTGTCTGTACCTATTTAGCACCTTTCTAGCCAACCAGGCTACTCAAAGTTTTTTACAACACAATCTGTGCCCTCATTTACTCATCCACACACAACACATCTCTACAAAGCTAACAGTAATCAGAAAAGAGTCAAATTAGTGGTTTTGACCACATCCATACAATGATGGGGCACACATCAAAGGGAATGAGGGGTTCGGTGTCTTGCCCAGAAAATTTTCTATGTGACTTGATAATTGTGGAATCGAACCTCCGACTCTCCCACTGAAGAACAATGACTTTTGACCACTGAGCCACAGCCATCACAAAGAAAAGTTGCCAGCCTCACATAACTAAAACTAGAACAAAAATATTTTTAGATACCCTTTTCAAACATTTTGACAATAAAGAAATACAACAGCCCAGCCTAAAAATAAAAATGTTTGGATATAATATGGCTGTCCTGATAACACTTTTAAGGTGGTGGTAAACAACTTATCCTGGTCAAAAACAACACCAATTTCTTTTCATTAGTACAAAAAGTCAAATTAATGTCATGTGTCATGAAAGGCTTTTGGAGCTTGTCAAAGTTAGTTTGTGTACTTGGCATATAAAGTTTTCTTCTTGCAAGTCAAGAGCAAACAGCAAGGCAGATTTTTTTAGTTACAATAGTTTAGCCTATGATTGAATAATTAATATATTTTTTGCTAAATTGTGCAAACAGATTACCATTTGTGATTTTACCATACCATTTGGTACACATGGCTGTGAATGTATTTCAGGTTGTTTCGAACGTTTCGTGACAACAAGTTTGTTTACATGCTTCTGGAAGTTTGTCTTGGTGGAGAGCTGTGGACTGTGCTGCGGGACATGTGAGTGTATGTCCTTTTAATTTGTTCATTCAATGACAGCAAATGAAAACATTCAACTCAAGATGTTGATAAAAAAGCACCACTCAGGATGTTTAAAAAAGACTGAAAGGAGAAAGCAAGTACTTAACTACTTGTGTTAGTTAACTAGACAAATCAAATAAGAGTCGGAAAAAACTGGATCAGTTAAAACAAAATTAGGGGTGCAAATCTCTCAGTGTCTGACGAATCGATTCAATTCCGATTTTTTGGTGTCATGATTCGATTCAAAATCAATTTTTCAATTCAAAAACGATTTTCAATTCAGAAACAATTTTTCTATTGAAATGATCATATATTTTATTTCAGTTATGTAACTGACAAGATGAAAAGAATAAACAACAATGTAAATAAATAGAACATTTATTTAAAACAATATTTTTAGGTTCTTTACTGTATCAAATCTTTTTGCATCATTTTATATTCATACCAAAAATAGGAACAAATCAGAATTAGAATAAGCTTCATTATCATTGCACCGAGATACAGCGAGAATGTCTGTACAGTCATCCGAAAGATGGGCGGAGTGCACGTAGCTGCTGCTATTCTTATCCTTTTCAGAATACAATTTTAGATAGAAAAAGGGACAAAGCCATGAGGACAGGATAGTGGCATTACCAAAAAAGATCTCTTCACACCTTGTCCTACCAGGACACGATTTAAGACATCAAAAAAAAACTCTGCCAGCAAGCACATTTACGAACATGTTAAGCATTTGACAACGAGGCGGTCCATGAAGTACTAATAGATAGATCATTGTCCTGATTAAATGATGGTCAGTCTCTCCACATAAGGGGGTGGGGGGCGGGTTGCAATAGATGTGGCTTTTCTTTAGTTTACACATATCCCAGGATAAATTGATAAGTTGGCCTGTTTCAAGGCCAGCCGGGGAGTCAGATTCAGATAATCCACAATTGTTGATTTATTCAGGCAGACTATATTTTGTCAGCCTTGAATCTTACTTCCAAGGTCCGAAATAGACAGATTAGGGTGCATTCTACTGGTCCGTGCTTACGAGCCTCTTCAAGGTTGTTTTCATGCTGACGAGTCCCAAAGACGCAGGTGGCTTGCGATTCAAATCACTTCAATCTTATGGTTTAGCTCATAAATCAGCTGATTTTGAGTCCTCAAAGCACGAACCAAACCTTCACATAGGCAGCAGCCTGACAAGGGCCAAATTAGCTGCGGGTGTCTTCTTTTTATGTTGATACACCAGGAACCAGACTACAAAGTATTCAAAAAACAGGAAACCTGTTATCATAAATCCAATTATATGCAATTTTGGCGTCCTCGATCGACAGCAGAGGTAGACACATCACATTCCACTTCCCAGAGATATATCCAGCTGCACGTGTCGTCCGAGCAGATGAGGGTTCTCCAGGACCCTGTCGCTTTGTTGAAAAGATTTTGTCATTTGCGTCGAAAGTCCAGTTGGTCAGATCCAAAACAATAGTTTTCATTTCGGAAGATGTGTAAGAATAGGAGCTGCTCTGATACACAGACAGAGAGCAAATAAGCAGGAGGAGAACAGGGAGAGGAGGGAGAACAGGGAGAGAAAGCATGCGCCTCGTTCCAGAGCCAGTGAGGGGGAAATAAATATACAGGCATGCAAAACATTCTGTAACTTAAATCACCACTATTAGGCTAGCTTAGCTGCCTGGATTTTTCTAAAAAAAAAAAAAAAAAAAAATCTAGGAACAAATAATTAATCAATCCATTCATCCATCCATTTATCCATCCATTATCTTTACCCACTTCTTCCTTTTCGAGTCACGGGGGGTCACTGGTGCCCATATCCAGCTATCACTGTGCGAGAGGCAAAGGACACCTGGACAGGTCTCCAGTCCATCACAGACAAATAATTCAAAATATATATATACAAAAGTAGATTTCAACCTACCATAGTGCATTAACCTTTAACTCAAAATAAAATACAGACTTCACAGTTTTTTTACCCATATTGCACTAAAATTTGCTATATTTTCAAAACTTAACCTAATATGAAACATACAGACTTTTAACAGTCTTAACCATATTGATTTATATTTGGTAAATCTTTAACAAAATTTCAAAGCCTGTGCAAGTCTGCACAAAAAATGTTCTGAACTGTAATTTATAAATCATAAATTGTATCATTTAGAACTGGCTCCAGGTGATGTGTCTCATCTCGTCTCTTCAACCTGTTAAAAAGACAAATTACATTAAGTTTGTTGTATAACTTGTCTATATACGTTTAGTATAATGTGAAAAACAGTTACCTTTGAGCTGCAGCTGGTAGCATTAGCTTCTCCCACTTTATTCTGTTTCATGGTAGAGTTATGGCGCAGCTTTATCACTAAAAATCTATGTGAAGGAATAATGTACGTTGGGTCCAGCATATTAAAAATAAAAATAAACCCCTCGCCTTCGACTTAGCTGTCTGATTGTAAATCCTTTGTGATATAGCAGGAGATGGAGAGGGAAATCTTCGCAGCCTTTGGGGAAGCCTGGAAGTTTGTTGCAGAGTTCGCTGGTCTGATGCTTTCGCTTTCATCTTCTGTGCATTTTGTCGTATTTCCAAAATACTGTACTGTAATTTTTTTTTTGACACTTCTTGCAAACAACCGTGCTCTTGTTAAGCTCTGTCTTCCCCCAGAACATTGTAGGATCTGAAATTATTTTTAAAGACGAAGAAGTGGGTTGAATCGCGCGGTCCTCCTTCTCCATGCTAGCAGACTCCATTCAGATAAAGGGAGCTAGCTAACTAGCTTGTTTTACCGTGGCCTACATGGCCCAATTCTACTGTGGCTGAGCGGACACGTAAAGCAATATGCAGTAAGCTCGGGAGTAGGAGCGGAAAAAAAAAAAACTTAAACACATTTTAAAATTGATTTATGGGCTTTTAGTATTGATTCAGAATCTCCAGGACTAAAAAAATAGATTTTTTAATAAATATTTTTTTCTTGCACCCCTAATATATATAAGTAGAGATAAGACACAAAATTGTAAAGTTTTCATTTGTCTATTTTCACAGGATACATGAAGACATTTGTTCATTTTTCTTTCTAAACTAGGTGTTATTTTGATGAGCCAACAACCAGGTTCTGTACAGGTTGTGTCTTGGAAGCCTTTGATTATCTCCACACTATGGGCATTGCTTATAGAGACCTAAAGCCTGAAAACCTTTTACTGGACGCAGAAGGTTACATCAAAATGGTGAGCCACTTTCTGAAATATCTGTAGGCCCAGATTCAAATGGATTTTGTTGTATTTCATTGCAACTGGGAAACAGTTCATATGAGAGCGACTTGCACAATTGGTTTTGAAATGCTTCCACTGTGGTGTACGGTTAGATAAATAATGAGCAAAACTTTAATGCAGCTGGAAAAATGTTTTGGTTTAACATAGGTTATATTTCGTGTAAGCTATGCCTTTAAAAGCTGTCGCTATTGGGTTTACCCCATGCGCAGCACAATGCAAACTGAAAACTTCTAGTCCACGCCTACCTACTGTGTGGGCCCCACCCGGTCCGTTATAAATTGCATCTGAACCGAAGATCATCTCCCCATTTTCTTCAGCCAACGCACTACTGCTGAAAATATCGAAAGGAAAGAAAAAAAGAAGAATGAAAGGTGATTTCCAAAAAAAGGGCAAAAGTCATTTGTCTGTGCCCCGAGTGCCAGACAGGTTACATTTTGTCGACGAACCTGTACATCATCTGTGAGAGCTGTTTGTGAGCTGAACATGACCGCCAGGCCATGGAACTGCTGTTTTCCTGCCCAGCCTGCAAACTTTTTTTGGCCGAGGAAAAGCAGCACCGGTTTGAGCTCCTTTCCTCTGTGGAGGACGAGTTTCAACCAAGGGGGACTGTTCAATGGAGGAATTTTTGAGCTCCCTGGACTCAGAGCTAGCGGACATGTACACCTCTGAAGGTAAAACAGCTAGCAGCTACGCTCCTTCCTGCCTTGCAGGAGGTTTGAGTTGGTACTACTGCTGACGGACACCCACACGATTGTCCAGGGGTCAACCATCATTTTGCTTCATGGGCTCCTGGAGATAATTGGGAGGTCGGCGAGAGTCTGCGATCTAGAGGTGCCTGAGCCAGTGGCACTAGCCACGTCGATCCTTTTGGCAGAAAGGTTTGCCACTCATCACACTGGACACCAGGACCCGGTCTAGCCCTGTTTTTTGGCTGTGTCTGCTCTCTTCTTGGGCTCAACCACCGACCCTCTGAAGTTGAGAGCTCCAGTTGCCTCCTATGCAGCCATCATAAAGGTCAAGTGGTTCATGGAACAAGGCTTCCCCACCATCCCTCCTCTAGAACCCAGCTTGTCTGCTGTCTTCAGGGTGGGAGCAGCAAGGTATGTTGGCCGATGCATTACCCCTCCATCTCCCAGAGACCAGTTCACCACCAAGCTGATGGACAAAATTCACCAGTGCTCATCGCAGGTGGGAGTGGTGTAGTGGACTAGGCCTATGTCAAAACTGACCAGATGGACAGAAACTGTCATTTCATTGATCTGCATCCAGAAATACAGTTTGACCCATCCTGAGACTTTCTTTCTTGAATTAATCAAGTAGAAATGACAATTCTCTATGATCATTACTATTTTACAAATGTTTTAATAATCAAATTGTGTTAGTTCAAACAATGTTTACAGGTTGAAGAGAACGTTGGTTACGTACTGTAACCCCAGATTCTATGAATATAGGCGTAGCCCTTTAAGGCTGTCGCTGATGGGTTTATCCCGTTATGCGCAAGCATCGTACTGAAAAAATTAGTCCACGCCCACCTGCTGTGTGGGCCCCACCCGATCCGTATAAATTACGTTAAGAGCGGGTAATCTGCTCCCAAATAGCTTATTCTTTTCTTCAGCTATTCAGGAGCCAGTGAGGCCCGACGCTTAAAGGGCTACGCCTATATTCATAGAATCTGGGGTTACAGTACGTAACCAACGTTCTATGTCATATAGGCTTCGCCCTTTAAGGCTGTCGCTGATGGGTTAAGGGCGAAGCGGATGTGGTCCTCGCCTCACTGGGTCCATTCGAACCCAGTAAGAAGCGGAAGCTTGCCCAAAAAACGTCTTGCCACTCAGTTCCCCATGTGCATAATTACGCATCGCGTAATTGTGTGCCATGCACAGACGCATGTTGTGCAACTATGCGTTCTGACAGCATGAATGCCCCGGAAAAACTTTCAACGGGGAAGATATTGAAAAGAGGAGGGGGGGGGGGGGGGCACGAAAAAACCGAGATTCATGATTGAACAGTATAAACAGATAATATCAATGAACTGATTATTGAACAAATGAACTGATTGGTAACAATAGTCATGAACTGATTAGTGACAATAGAACCGAATCACAGACACAACTTGTGGCTGATAACAACATCTCACACTGTAATGCATGCAGACAGATGTGAGCTTAAACAGAGTTCCATGAGAACAACAATATTCATTCTGTTAGAGCACTAAGGACAGAATGTGTCATGGAACGAGCCGTTACATCACGTAGGTAAAAGCGAATAAATGAGCAGGGTGATGACCATGCAGCCGCAGTGCAAATGTCCTGCATTGACATACCATTATGCAGAGCAGTCGAAGATGCGATACCCCTGGTTGAGTGTGCTTTGAGGTTGACAGGAGGCTCTAGATCTGATGCTCTGTAGGCTTCAGAAATGGCCTCACACAGCCAGTGTGACAGGCGCTGGGTGGATAACGGGCGGCCTGCGGATGCATCTCTATAATGCACAAACAAATGTTGAGTTTGACGCATTGCAGCTGTGCGCGCTATGTAACACGATAACGCCCGCACCGGACAGAGAAGATGAAAAGATGCTTCTTCTTCTGATCTGTGGGGGGGAGGGAAGAATCCCACCAACGATATCTGTCTCGATTTAAAAGAGCTCGTGATGCTTTTAGGCATAAAGGCTGGGTTTGGTCTTAAATCAGCTGAACTACCGTCAGCCTGGATTCTGAGACATGACGGAGCGGCAGAGAGGGCAGATAAATCACTCACCCTCTTAGCGGATGTTAAAGCCAGTAGCAGGGCTGTTTTAAGAGACAGGAATTTAAGTGAAACTTGATCCAGAGGCTCAAAAGGAGCTTTGATCAGGGCTCGCAGGACCAGCGTTAAATCCCACTGTGGAACGAGTGGGCGTGAAACCGGTCTATGTCTTTGTACACCTTTTAAAAACCGCTTCATCAGCGGGTGGTTAAAAGCTGTTCTGTCCCCGAACCCTTCGTGGCAGGAAGAGATGGCTGCAGCGTACGTTTTAATCGTGCTGAACGCCAACTTCCTATCCATCAGCTGTTGAAGAAAGGACAGCACGCCACCTAATGGACATGAGGTGGCCTCCAGACCTTTCTCTGTACACCAGCGCTGAAAAGCCGTCCACTTTGATGTGTACAGGGCTGTGGTAGATGCAGCACGTGAATCTTGAATTGTGCGCACTACCTCCTGAGGGAGACCCATCCTCTCTAAGCGGGACCGCTCAGCGGCCAGACCCACAGGTGCTGGCCTATTTCCGGGTAACTCCTGATCGCTCCTCCTGCTTGAAGGAGAGCATCTTCCCTCCATGGCAGTTTCCACGGGCGACCTGACAACAGACGCTGCAGGACCGGGAACCATGGTGCGTTCACGCGCTCGGGAGCTACCAGGAGAGCTGTCAGTCCCTCCTCCTGAACTCGGTTCAGGAACCGTAAAATCAGAGGAGGAGGAGGGAACGCGTACAGAAGCGTTTTGGGCCACGGGCTGTGGGCAAATGCATCCACCCCCAGCGGTGGGTCGTCTCGAGGGCTCAGGGAAAACCATAACTGGCACTGAGCGTTCTCTCGCGTCGCAAACAGGTCCACAGCTGCTTTGCCAAACTTCTGCCACGTCTGAAACATCAGGTCTGGATGGAGGGTCCAGTCCGCGTGACGTGGACCGCCCCTGGACATCACGTCTGCTCCTCTGTTCAGAACGCCGGGTATGTAAACCGCTCTGATGGAAAGCAGATTTTGGTGAGCCCAACACAGTAGCTTCCGCGCAATGTGTAACATCTGGGCTGAACGCACACCCCCCTGGCGGTTTATGTACGCAGCAGTCACCATGTTGTCTGTGTGAATCAACACGTGTTGATTCTGTAGCACGGGAGCAAAATGCTGAATCACATTCAGCACTGTGCGACACTCCAAAACATTGATGTGGGCTGATGTGCGGTGGGGCCACAGCGCCCCTACTGCTTGAGATAGGCATGTCCCCCCCCAACCTGACAGAGACGCGTCCGTGAAGACTGATACGTGTGTCGAGGGTTTGCTGACGGGGACTCCCTCTGACAGAGCCAGGGTGTTTCCCCAGTGTCGGAGGTCTGCTCTCACGGAGGGAGGGACAGTGATCATCCGTCTCTTTTGTTTTACTGGATCCACACGCAGGCGCGTAAACCACCTCTGGAGGCGCCTCATGTGTAACAAACCCAGCGGGACCACTGTGTGAGCTGATGACATCATTCCCAACAGCTTCATGACGGAGACAGCTGTTACCACTTTGCCAGGTCTTACGTGGCGTAATTGGTTTTTTAGAGTGTCGATTCTTGTTTGTGATAAGCGAGCCGTCATGGTAATTGAATTTAATTCCACTCCCAGATAAACAATTGTCTGGGCCGGGAAAATCGAGCTTTTCTTCCAATTTATGGCGAAGCCCAGATTTAGCAGGTGTGATGCCAACACCTGAGCCTGTATCAATGCTTCCTGTCTGGAGTGAGACAGGAGCAGCAGGTCGTCCAGGTAAAACAAAACTCTCATCCCTGCTCTGTGCAGTGGATGCAGGGCTGTCTCCACACACTTTGAGAATGTACGAGGTGCGAGGGAGTACCCGAAAGGCAGCCTGTTGTACTGGTACTTCATCCCTTGAAAGGCGAAACGCAGAAATTTTCTGTGTTTTGGGATGATTGGTATGTGAAAATAAGCATCTTTTAGATCGATGGAAACAAACCAGTCGTTTTTCTGGATGTTGTCCAACAGCTGTCTGTTCGTCAACATGTGAAAAGGTCTGTTCATGATCGCTTTGTTGAAAGCTGACAGATCCAGAATCGGTCTCATCCCTCCGGTCCTTTTGGGGACCAGGAAGTAGCGTGAGTAAAACCCTGTGTTTTCCTCCTCGTTGGGAACTCTTGAGATTACACCTTTTATCAGAAGCTCCTGGACTTCTGCATTTAAGGCTGAGACTTGGTCT